ATTCCAGGGTTCAAGTGTCTTGGAGAAGCACACGTACCATGCCGGGCCCACTCACTGCTCAGTCCCTCTGGGTGTAATCTTCCTTTCCCTGGCCACTAAATCAGAGATATTGGCAACAAAAATGTGGAGGTTCCATCCTGTGGACTCAGGTCTCAGTGCAAACAGGTTCCCTATGAGGCATACTACCTTAGCCCGCAAAATGTGCGTCACTTACCACCCCCCACATGTGGCATGGGCCTTCAATGACCCAGAAGATGGCAGCCTGAAAATGTTTAACAGGAGGGTTTGCTTTCTTCTTTTAAAGGCTCCCAACAGCGTCAGCACCACACTGTACAGGATCGATCTTAATTACCGTCCATGTGGAATTTTTTTCTTGTGGCTCTTTTCAGTGAAAAAAACATTAATGAGAAACTTTAAAGGCTTGTTAACAGTGTCCTCTCATCAATCAGAGGCTCTGTCAGGCCGAGTCCTGCTGTCAATTTGCACCTCGAGGCTCAGCATCCACTTCCTACTTCCTCATCCACTCCAGCCCCACCCCCAGCCAGGACCCTTGTTGGAGTAGCTCCTGAGTGATGGAGGCCAGACGTTCTCCATCTGTCAGCAGCTGGAGCCGCAGGGTCCCGAGGTCCTAAGGACTCAGGACGCGGCCCTGGGTCGCCTGGAGACATGTCGGGAGCTGCAGCTTCTCCAGGCTCCAGCCTTGGCTTTTGACTACCACTTTCCCCCAGCTTCAGACAGCCAGGCAAGCTCAGACATTGGACGAGGGGTCTGAGCAGGGGCCTTCTAGAGTCTCAACTCCTGCAAACTGTTCAGTGAAATTATCATGAACTTCAGATTCAGATTCTTTTGTTTTTGGTTTCTGTTTTGGGACATCTATCCTATGTAGCCCTTCCTAACCTGGAAAACACTGGGTAGACAAGGCTGGCCTCCAAGACACAGCTATCCTCCGATCCCTCTGCCTCTGCCTCCCAAGTGCTGCTCCCTGCCCCCACATAGGACATGGGTCTTGCTATGTAGCCCAGGCTGGCCTCAAAGTCACCACCCTCCTGCCTCAGTCTCCCTAAAGTTTCGGTTAATTCCTGTGTGATCCTTGGTGCTCTGCTAATTTTGGTTTCTTGAATGTGAATGTTTAATAAGCTTGTGAACAAGAAAAGACAAACCCAGACAGCCTGAAGGAGGCCAAATACATTCAATTTCTCACTCAAGGGCCTCCAGTGGCCCTCTGTGACATATTCATAAGACATAGGCAAACGCGACACAAAGAAACCCAGATGTATCATCACAGCAGCAGGAGGCTGAAGGCAAAAGGTTTAGCTTCCTAAATGGACTTCCAGGCAAAAGCTTCAGAGCAAAATAAATCCCCATCATGTTCCACATTAAGCCAATTTGTTGGCCATTCCTGAGTCCTCCCTACACTGTGTGAAATCTAAAGGGCCCTGCACCCTCCAGCAGGCTTTGGAGAAGAAGGCATCGACTCCCCCGGGATTCCCTGTCCACTCTGAAAGTGGTGCCAAGGCCCACACAGTCGTTTTTCGTCCAGGCAAGGCCATACCGGGATCACAATGGAACCTGTATGGGAGTTCTACCCATCTGGAAGTGATCGTGAGTGATTCTGCAGACGGTCCCCAACCTCTCCACAGCCACCGATTATGCACACTGTGGGAGTTCTACCCATCTGGAAGTGATCGTGATTCTGCAGACGGTCCCCAACCTCTCCACAGCCACCGATTATGCACACTGAAGGCTCTAAGGAACCTGGATCAGGCTTTGAATTCAGTGTGCTTGTGTAGAAAGATGTCTTGACAACACTGAGTCTTGCCAAACAACTAACATACAAAGTACCAACACATTCATGTTGGCTATACCTGCATCTATTGCATCTAGAACTTCAAAAGTACAGCCCCTCCATCCTGTAAATGTCTCTTACAGGAACTCAGCTTCCTGACTGTAGTGGATTGAATGGGGACTGTCCCCCATTAGCTTATGTGTTTGAACACTTGGCTCCCAGTTGGTGCTGTTTGGGGAGGTCATGGAACCTTCAGGAGGTGCAGTCTTGCTGGAGGAAGCAGGTCGCTGAGGGCGGGCTGTGAGTCTGTAGCCCGGCCCACTTCCAGTTCCCTCTCTCTGCTTTGTGTTTGGGGTTGAAGACTCATCTCTCAGTTTCCTGATCTGGCCACCCGCTGCCCCACCGTGATGGACTCTAATCCCCGGAACCATGAGCCGAATAAGCTTTCTTCTCTAAGTTGCTTCTGATTGTGGTGTTTTATCACAGCAACAAAAATTAACTACTACACTGACCCGCACTAGCCTTGCTCTGGGTTAGTTTGTTTACTTTGGGCAGAAATAATTCAGACTGGTGTTCTTGTGACTTCATTACGTGGTAAGGCCATAGAACGTGGTGAAGTGGGTGCCATGTGTACCCTTAATGGAGAAGAGACTGGAGGAAAAGCACATCCCTGACAACACAACCCTTACAGGCTCAGCCTCCTGTTTGGCCACAGGCATCTGTTCTGTTGTCAGTAGGGTCCCCAGGATCCAGCACAGTCTCTTGTCATCTTGGTTTAGGGAAGGGGCAGGATGGCGGCGGCTGGTGGGAGCCACGGTGCAGCAGCCTTTTACATGCTGCACAGCCCTCTGTGTCAGCTTTCAAAGCAGGGCTCGGAGACCCGACAGGTGAGGGGGACCTGGGGCCACAAGCAAAGAACACAGCTTTCTTGTTTCGACATTTCTTTTTATTTGGAAAATATTTTTGTGATTCTTTATGCCTTTCCTTATTTTCACAAGCTGTGCTGCAACCTCGAGCCAGAGCCGCTCCAGGCACCGTGCTGGTGTTTCATGTCGGCCTCCGCAGAGCTTGTCCTTGGAGCAGTACATGGTCACGGCGGAGTCCTGCTGCTGTCAACGGCTACCTCGGGGCATCTACTGAGCCTGTTATGGCAGTGCTGAGGAAACCCTGGGAGAGGCGAGCAGGCAGCATTTGCACTGCTCCAAGGGCAGGTCCAAATATACCTGCACGTGGTCTCAGGCTGCCAAAAGCTCAGGTCATCCTGGTGGCTTTATTGAGCCTGTTATGACAGTGCTGAGGAAACCCTGGGAGAGGCGGCAGGCAGCATTCGCACTGCTCCAAGGGCAGGTCCAAATACACCTGCACGTGGTCTCAGGCTGCCAAAAGCTCAGGTCATCCTGGTGGCTTTAGGGGGTTGGTGTCCCAGCTGCCTGTGGCTGTCCCATGCCGGGGGCTCGGCCCTGTCTGTACAGAACCAGGTGCCTCTCAGAGCCTGGCCTTATTTGGAACCATAGAGATCGCAGGGAGAGCTGCCATCATGCAGGGTGCTCAGGCACAGTGAGGAGGCTCTCCCACGGGCCAGTGGCCTGGTGGCCCCCACACACGGATAGAGGGCAGCCAGCTGGACCCGCTCAGAGCTAGTTGGGATCAACCTTGCTGCCCACCTTCCAACTCCTCTTGTAGCACAGCAGAGGCTGGGGTCTCCCCAGCACACTGCAGCCACAGTGCCCTCTGTTGGAACACACACAAGGCACAGGCAGCCACAGGGCCCAGAGCTGTGCCCTGGGAAAGAGAATTCTCTTCTCTTCAGGTGGATGACAAAGGTAGCAGGCAGTGATTCCTGGTGACTGGGGAGACATCGTTATGGCAGGTCTCTGACAAGGTCCCTTGGCTCTTCCCTTGTGCCCTCTTGGACCAGAGATGGTCCTTTCTGTTCTTAGAGATAGATGGTCAGAAAATGAGTAGACCGACCCCGGTGAGGACAGACGGGAATACACCGGTGTGCAAGGCCGAGTGCACGTCTACACAGTCTATCCCATGATCAAGACTCACCTTGCTTTGAGAGAATGGATGATGACTAAACTTAGAAAGTTCAGCACTGGTCACGCCACTTAAAAAAAAATACCAGAAATAGTGTGGCTGACGAAAGACCAGGTCATGATAAACTGTAAACCAGGAAGTCAGGCCCAAGGTTTGTATTTTTGTGTGTTAAGGCAGCATGTCGTACCAAGGCCCAGCAAACCTCTCCTGAGAGGTTTTGGATGACACAGTTGAACCACTGGACCTTCTTGCCTTGGTCCACACTGTCCCAGAAGCCACCCTAGAGCAGCACTTTTAGCTACATGGTTGGTGGTCCATCCCTCCAATCGCATGCTGTTTTACTTATTTGTATCCAGGGCCAGGAATTTCCGTTCACTTTTTGGAAACAGTAAATTTTAAAGGTAGAAGGCTGAGGGGGCTGTGCTGTGTCTGGCGTGTCACATGGCAGCTCCCAATGCTGGTGGTGGGAGGAGTTGACCATTACTGGAGTGATCTTGGACCACATGAAGTCGCTGTGACCTTTACAGGCACTAGTGCTTGGAGCTCCCAGGAGGGACCACGTCCCTCCCTACCCACTGCCCATGTCAAAACAGAGCAAGACAGGCTGGAATCTGGGGTGACCTGGCTCCCTAGAAGGGCAGCAGCTCAGTCAAACCCGTGTCCTAAGTGCTACTTAGCGCCCCCCCCCCCTTTTTGGGGGGGAATGGTGTTTTTTTTTTTTTTTTTAATCTAACCGGCCAGTGTAGACCGCAGTGGTTGTAAGATGCCTTCCTGGCAGCTGGAGAAGCAAAGCTGAGATCCTCTACAGAGTCTACTTCCCAGCCTGCCCCTCCTGCATCGGACGGGAGCGGGAGGTCGGGACTTGAATGGGGGCTGCCACCTCAGCAGGGCAAATGGCCAGGAGGGATGAAGTGGGGGCCCTGCCAGGGTGGGGTCAGCTGGTCAGCGTGGACAGTTTGAGGCAGCCAGCTATTGCCTGCAGGTGTCAGATGCTCCCCCTTGCGGGGGCAGGGGCCCTAAGGCTCACCAGGCCTTTCTCCCTCCCATCCCTGTTTTAATGGACATTAAAAATGGAACACTAACCGCGTTAGAGGAGGGAACTGATGATGTGCACAAGGGCCAGCCGTCTGAACTCATTCTGCTGTAAAATGTAGAACAAGAAAGGGCAGCCACATCACGTCCCCCAGGACACATCTGGCTCTTTTAATATAGTGGCACCACCACACATTGGCTTCCGACGCCCCGTTACGTCTAGGTGTCACTCAGATGTTTACTCCAAATACAAACACTCATTTTCGGCCAGCAGGCTTGGAGCTGGTGGAGCCACGGGCTGCCCTGAGCCAGGGCCTGGCCAGACCCAACTCCTTGCAAGCTGGCTGCTCCACCTGGATACCCTCGTGGGCCAGAAGCCACTCCTTCACAGGCTGTCCTCCTCCGGAGTAGTGGCCCAGTGTACCGTCGCTGCAGATCACTCTGTGGCAGGGGATGAGGATGGGGACCTGAAAAAAGGGATGTTCCATCAGCCTGGCTCTGGGCTTGGCAGGTTTCTGGGCCAAGGGCAAAGCCCTGCCTCTGGGTGGCCACCAGGTGGGTCTCTAGTTAGCAGGCTGCTGGCATCTCTGGGGCACTCTGTGGGGGATGAAGGAGGAATACCCGTCCCAAGGTGTGTGTAGGATGCGGCTTCTTTACACCATGATTTAGAAAGACCCTGAATCACATGAGGTATATTTATCATGTGCACATGTACAGCATCACATTTATGGGTTCTGCGTGGGAAACAACCCTCTCTGATGGGAGCTTCAGGGACTAGGGGAGGCCCATTTCACCCCAGGGGTTGGCAAACTATGGCTGGGGACCATTGTCCACCTTCTGGGAAATAAAGTTTTATTGGAACACAGCCATGTCTTTGGCTATGTAAAAGCACAGGATACTGTTAAACTGACTTTCACAGGGAAAGCTGGCCACACTGGCCTATTCTGTCTCCTCGTGTACTGGGCATTTGACTTTCCCTTCTTTTTTTCTTTCTGGGAACTTCCAGTGTCGCTCCTACCCCTGGACACACTCCCACAGGCAGCACATCCAACGGCAGGCTCGGTCAACACAGCACTCCATCCCTGCAAGGCCCCCTGGCCAGGCTGCCCTCACCAGGTGGCCTCCTTCCTCAGCTGGGTTGAGGCACCCAGGCTGCCCTTCAACCCTTAATGCTGAGCACACCCAGGATCGCTGCTCTCCTAACTAGATCTGCTTTGCTCTGAGAGCCCAGTTCTCAGTGAAGACAAGTATGTCCAATGCAAGGAGAAGATGGCTGACTGTCACAGGACTCCAGGGTGGTCAGGCACCTGTATGCCTGGGCCAGGGTCTGTGAGTTCTGAGCCATCACCACAAAGTACCTGCAGTGCAAAATGTCACACCAATCACAGAACTGGGGCAGGGCTTCCATGATTCCAGAGTTCTCCAAACACAGGTATTTCTTTCCACTCACTCTGATGAACTTCAAGACAGGGCTCTGAGCAGCGTCTCATGAGCGCTGTAGTAGCACCGGGCCCACTTTTCCCTTGCCTGACCCCATGCAAACCTGTGGCCATCTGCACTGGAGACCAAAGGATCTAGATGCCAGATGCTCACAGGGTTTGGGGTCCAGGATGAGGCCCACACCTAAGAGGCTCTGCTTCGCAATTCTAGGGCTAGAAGGCTACGGCTGTTGTTAGGGCGCCTTCTTTGGCCCCTAGAGGATTGGCCTGTCACTGCAGGAGTTGCTTACTTCAGCAATGGCTCATAGGGTGCCGAGGACTAGCTACATTGGTCACCATGCTGGTGGCTGAGCTATGTGGACAGAAGTTCCAAGGTCCACATCTGTGGAGGCTGGGCAGCTGCTGTGGCCCTTCCTCTGCTTCATGGATACAGACATTCCTGGCCTGACATACCCCTACCCCACAGGCTCCTCAAGGATCACCTCAAGGGGTCCTGTAGGTGATCTGTGCCCTGAACTTCTGAGCCAGGGAAGTCTGAGCTGGCAGGGCTGGTGATTAGGCCTTATTGGGAATCACTGGGAAGACCCTGGGCCTGTGTAACCCCGCCAGTCTTGCTTTCGTCCTAATAAAGCATGTGTTGGTGTTCCTGATTCCTCATTGGCTGAGAGCTCGGGTAGGAAAGGTAGGCTGTCGCCTGGAAGGCCCTCTGAAACCCACAGTGGCTAGAGTCAACTCCAGTTCCTCACTTCCTCAGTGGGTAGCAGTTAAGACTGTGCTGGGCCCACAATGATTGACCCCACACTTGCCCCGCCAAGGTGTACCCATTGCAGGGGATGCTGGGGACTCGACTTTTCCCCCCCCCCACTTAGGATTCCAACAAAGTAGTTCCTGACAGAGCTACCCTGGACGCCTTCCCCAGAGGGCTGAGAGGGGCTCACAGTCACACAGCTCCCTTTCTCCTAGCAGCCCCATGGAGTTTACTGGGACTCAGTCCTCAGCCACTAAAGCCTCTCAACACAGAGAGTGTTGCACCCCAACCTGAACAAAACGAACAGGCTGGGGAGAAGGCAAATTGCCACGATCATAACCGGAACTGTGGGCACCTGCTCCAGAGAGCTGTGGAGGCTCAGGGCTTACCCTGGAAGGTTCTGAGCTGTCCCGACAAAGGAAAGTGCAGACAGCAGGTGTGCAGATCTGGGGCTATCTCAGCACTCACAGAGGCTTTGCAACAAGTGTTGTGCTGTGATGAGAAGCGGCAATAGACCTACAGGGCCCCAGAGGGAGGGACGCAGGCACTGCCGGGACCACCCGCCTCACTTCACTCTTCCTTGTTCCTGTGGCTCAGAGATCTCCACCTCCGACACATCTCTGCCTTTTCCATCTGCCAAGGTACGTGAAAGACAGTATCCAGCTTCCAGCCAGCTGGGTTTCTAGAAGAAGTTGTTGGGCAGAGTTCGAGCTCTGCATCTTGGAACCCTGTGTGTCCTGGTGTTGCTTCCCTGTAACCCAAGGCCCCAGTGTGACGGTTTGAATGAGAGTGTCCCCCACAGGCTCCAAGTATTTGGACATTTTGTCCGCAGTTGGTGGCGCTGTTTTAGGAGGTCTTAGAAGAGTGTGGCCATGCTGGAGGAAGCATGCCACTGGGGTCGGGCTTAGAGCGTTTTTAAGCCTTGTGGGATCTTGAGTAGCTCTCTTGCTTCCTGTGCCAGCTTGAAGATGTAGAGCTTAGCTTCTGCTCCACCTCCAGCCACCTCTGCCACCATGCCTCCCCATCATGATGGACTCTTGCCTCTTTGGAACCATAAGCTAAATAAACTCTTCCTTTTATAAGTTGCTTTGGTCAGTGCTTCTGTCACAGCAACAGAAAAGTAACTAAAACACCCAGTATGGACAGCCCTGTGGTCACTGACATGCCTTCTGCACTACAGTTTACATGTCACGTATGCCCTTGGTGGGATAGAGCACATATGTCCCAAGAAATGGGGCCATCCCAGCCCCCACCTCTGATAGGATGCTCCCCAAAGCCACAGGAAGCAGGTGGCCCTCATGCCCAATACTGGGTTTCTTAATGTGCTGTCCTGCAGTCTTCCAATACCCAAGTTTGCCAAACTCATGCTGCGTTCACCTGGCTGATAAGAGAGGTTCCAACCAGCAGAGTCTGAGCTGGCCTGTCCTCCTGATGCTCTGTGTGCACGTTACCTCTGACCGACACCGTAGTGGTGGTAGGATCTTCCTGGCCTGTGGCCTGTGCTGCTAATGGAGCTTGGGAGATGGGGACATAGCTTCCATCACTCCATCGCCTCACAAGCCTCATCTTGCTCTACTATTTTGGGTCACCATGAGGAGAAGCATTGATGCTGTCTGTGAGTGCTTTTAGGGATGATTGGCTAGAGAAATCAGGAGGGAGAAAACTGACCACGCACCCAGGAGCAGCTCAGGTTGCAAACTGGAAGCTTTGTGCAGCCAACAGCATCTAACATTGACCTTGGAAGGAGCCATGGAGGATGTTGTGATTAGAAAACTTACCATGGCCGATGTTTAGGGAGTCAGCTACAAAGCTGACACTGCAGTCAGTGTTGGACGACACCAACCCCTAATTGGATCGGCAGAGGCAGGCAGGTGGCTCAAATCTTGTACTGCCAACCGGTAGGTGTCATTCTACCATCTTGTTTAACAGCAGATCTGACCTCTCAGCCTTGAATTTATTTTCCCCTCTCAACAGGTTGTGTAATTGTAACAATGAGTACCATGCTCACCTCTCCCCTCTCTGTTCTGTGTATACAACACAGAGACTGGGCTGCTGGCACAGAATAACAGTTGTGCCTATGTGTGTGGCGTTGGGGACTGGTGACTGACCCACACACATTACCATTAGAAAGGAATCCTGCTTCATGTTGGTTTAGCAGCAGGTGAACAACCCAGAGAACTATGACACCCACTAAGATTTGCAGGGGCCCTCAGGCCATTTCTGGAGGACCCACACTCTTCTTACCTCTTCTTCACAGCCTGAACCACATTCAATGCAACTGCTATTGATACCCAAGCAGCTCACAGTATTACAGTGTCACTGAAATCTTCACGCTGTGAAATCTAATTTGTCCAATACCTGGATCCATCACTCGCATAAGCCCTTTCTCAACTGCTATAAAACTTCCAAACCCATAGATTTGTCTCCAACAAAAATAACATGAAGGGACCTTTCGATCAATAATGGAGTCCCTCTGATTCTGGAACAGGCTGGATATTTTTCTCCAACTTTGCCTTTGTTCTTCCGGGCAGCGCCCACAAGGGAAAATGCTTGTTTTCACTCACAGCCTCATCAATACCTAAATCCTGGTGAACGAGTGACACCGGGAAGTTGTAATCAATAGCTCCCTGTGTGTTTTTTTCTTCTGGTCAAATGGTTCAGCTCCACTGACAACCCTGACACTCAGAACATGATGCTAAATCTTTATCAACAGCCATCTGGGTGACTGGCAGAACAGGACTCGGGGGCCATCGGAGCTCATGGCGATCTGCGAATAAACTAACTCCTCAGGAACGCGTTTTGTTTAGAAAAAGGTGGGAAACTCCCCAAGCTCGTATTGATCGCCTCTGAACTGCATTTAGCAAATTGCGTCTGAGGATGCAGCAGAAGGGGGTGCTGTGCGTGGCAGGGGCATGAGGAGCCTGTGGGGTTGTAAGTGGGAAACTGGCTGTCCCTCATGCAGGCTAGGGCACCGCCTTCCAGAGCCTGCCCAGACTCCTGTTGGGACCACTGAGTCCTCCTTGGGAAGCTTGGGAGAAGCTGCACTCCAGGATGGAGGATCCCATACTGCAAAACCCATTTCTTACTCTTAAGGAAGACAAACCCGGCAGTGGCCAGTGGTGATCCCTGATGGCATGGGGCCATGGCTATCAGCCACCCAAGGATAGGTTAAAGTTTCTGGTGACTGGAACATTCCACATTCCCTTTCTACGCTCCCCTCTTAAATGCATAATGACTCTGCTTAGCCTGAAGATGAGTTCTATGAGTTTTCTGTGACCTTGTCCAACTTGGTGCTGTTGGGCTGGAGGGGGCACAGGGAGGCCCTTAGCTTGGTCCTGTTGTCAGTGGTGTCACAGACACCTATCAACAACAGGTGGGCATCATGCACAGCCCAAATCTTGCCCAGGTCTTTTCTCCCTCAAATCTCTGTATCACTGTCTGCCCTTCCAACCAACTCGAGCCAGTTTCCAGGGTGCTTAATGGGGCCCTGGCCATCAAGAACCTGTATAGCTTCAGGTCATCCTGTATGCGGATCTCAGAGCATCCTCATGCAACTCGGGCAGCTTCTGTCATCACTGAAACCTCCTGCTGAGGTTGAAGGTCAGTGCGGAATGCACTGGGGCCAGGGAAGGTCAGTGTGGGATGCAGTGAGGCCAGGGAAGGGCTTAGCCACCCCTTAACGCAGGGGTGAAGCTGCTGAGGGTAAGACAGAGGCCTTGGCACTTTCCTTATGGTTGTGCCATAACTCCACTCCTGGCTTTGACACATGCTGAGGATGTCCACCTGTGCACACTTCATGGGCGACCAGAGTTGGAAGCTCTATGAAACAGTATTTTTATAAATTTCAGTGAACTGGGCTGGATGAGATTAGAAACAGCCACAGAGAGTAACAGCAGGAGAAAGCCAGCCATGCTGGTTTGTAGAAAGATAAATGTATCCCAACATTGCCACGAACAGGCCAGCAGCCAGGGAAGGACATCTCCACTGCAGAGAGCCAGAAACCATGGACATCACGAAGGTAGGTGTGGGGCGTTACTAACATGTACAGAGGGCAGCAGGGCTTGTTCTTAAAGCACGAGCTGTGAGTTGCACACACGGAGGGAGCAGTGGTGTTGGTGACCACGGATGGGACTGTCTTCATCATTGGGACACGAAATAAAACATGGCTCCCAACTTAACTTGAGTACATGTCTGTATCAAACCATTGTGCTGTATGTCTTATTACAGGTGTGCACAGGGGAATGCATGTCCACTTGTCAAACCTCAGTGGGGGAAAACAGAAAGACCTATTCCGCCCAGGGCCACGCCAAGAGAGGCCACGCCAAGGAGCATTATCTGAAATAGAAGCTGCAGTGAGTGACCCAGGAGTGAGTGACCCATGGTCTCCTGGGACGTAGAGCGGAGCCACAGAGCAGTAGTAACGGTGTGTAGAAATTTAGTGACCCATGGTCTCCTGGGACGTAGAGCGGAGCCACAGAGCAGTAGTAACTGAACTGCCCCTTTGTCTATAGCAAAATCTAATGCCTCCAAATCAAGTCGCAGCCCAAGAGAGGGTGGGGATCTTTCTGAGGGCAGATGGAGATGGAGTTTTGCTGGGAGACAGCAAAGCCATCTTCAGGTTGGACCTGAAGTGTCTCACAGGCACTGTGAAAACAAGATGTAGGTTCCTTGACAGCATATTTCTTAGAAGCATGAAAAAGCACTCTGCACTTGCGCTCCAGAGGTGTAACAGAAGCAGCCAGCCACACGGGCCATCCTCACTGATGGTCTGGATGGAGCTGAGGTGGCAGGCGTGCTGTGTGGCCCACACTGCCTTTCTTTCTGGACACTGAGTAATTCAACATGGTGAACAGGCCTCTCCATGTGGGCATGTGCCAGGACACTGTGGACCACTGTAGGCCCCCAGGAGCTTCTGCTTCTGAAGCAACAGGGCAGTCCTGTGCACAGGCTGTTCAGTTGCCATGTCCCAGACACCAGACTCTCCTCTAGGCTGCAATGTGAGGCGACAGCAGTGGTGGCAGTGAGAATGCGGCATGGAAATAGTCCTGAAAGCTCACAGCAAAGCCGCGGCACCTTCTGAGAAGTGCGAACTGTCTGTTCATCAATTTCCCTCCCAGACAAGGTGGGCACGGTTGTTCTCCTGATCAGACCACACTCTTGTCATGTTAGAGATTGACACAGCTTTAGGGAGAGACAGCTGCCAACAAAGCAGCACCCTTGCACTGGCACAGGATGGTCTGCATGGGACCATTTGGGGGCCCTAGAGTAGCATGGTGTCTCCCTGGGCGCTGTATGGATGGGACAGCCTTGACGCATGCAAGGTAAACAGGCACGGAAGCCTCAGCCTGGCCTCAGCCTGGCCTGTGTCATCACTGTCACACTGGACAGACAGCGTGGCTGGACTGGGAGCTGAGGTGCACTGTGCTTGTGGGACCATCCCATGCTATGGCCCTGGCTGTCTCTAAAAGCATTACCCACATCCTCTTGTGGGCTAGGAACCTCACGCTCAGTGAACTCTTGATAGACTCCTGGGAGGGACATGGATGCTAATAAGCTCTGGGGGAGGGGTGTCCCTAGGAAGCTAACATCTGAAGACAGAAGACATCTATGTTGCAAGGTGTCACATCTCCTAGGCTCATACCCCAGAGGCCCAGGGAACCCAGACCCCTATGACAGAGCAGTCTCCAGGGAGATGGGGTTGTACCATTTCACAGAAACCTTCTCAGAAGGTTGGTAGCACCTGGGGCTGGCCTCTGTTGTATATGCTTCTGTGTTCCTAGCATTGGGAAGAGTGTTACCACATAACAAATACCTTATGTGTGGACTGCCCTGCGGGGAGAGAGTGAATGGACCAGGTCGCCTTCTTCTCTGCCTGCCAGTCTTCAGGTTTCCTCCTCTTTGGTAAGGACAAAGTGCTCACATGGCTGAGATGAAAGGGTTCCTACCACAGGCACTGCCATTACCCGCACCCAGCCACACACAGGTAGCCTCTGAAATGTGTTCACCTGAGTGGTTGGAGACCCACCTATGATGGGCATCAGCCTGCTGCCCGAGTCTGCAGAACTTACCGGATTGCTTCTCATCGCTCCTCCCACCGCACGAGCCGCTTTGTGGTTGCCTGCCAGGGCTGCTAATTGCTGGTAAGAAATCATTTCTCCGAATTTCACAACCTTCAGCAGCTTCCATAACACCTGTCTGGAGAATGAGTCTGAAAGGAGGAAACAGAGTGACGTGATTTGGACAAAGGGCGCCAGCAGCTCGGATATAAACAACTGCCGGTCGCCCGGCAGAAAATGCAACAACACAAATGGAGGTGTTATACTCAGTTAAAGCACGGCCTCCACATAGCGCCCTGTCATTGTGTCACAGGCAAGCAGGGTGGAGTGGGAGGCAGGCACAAAGCAGGCGGGCCTCAGAATTTCCTTGCAACCTCCCCATGTTCCATTTGGTACTTGCTTCCACGAACAGGCAGGTGAACGTTTGCACAAGTAAAGTAAGCAAGGGGTCACTTCCGGAAAACCTCTGTGAAAACTCCTTTGTACTGGTTAATTTCCAGTATCAGGCGGGATGGGGGAGGAGGAGGCAGCTGGCACCCGCTGAGATCCTACATTAGCTGCTAGCCACCCAAACCCAGCAGCGCGCAGGACTGTCCCCGTGTTCGTGGCTGTTCTGAATGCCAAATGCCACAGTGTGTCCAGGTGTGTGTGGGTGACCCTGGCTATAGGCATCTTGATTGAACAGTGCCAGAAAAATAAAGGCCCTCTTCCCATTTTCTCTAACTTTGCTGCATCATGTGTGTGTTCTCACCTGGCCACAGAGATGGGGGCACGCCCACTTCCTCCCTTACCACCTCTGGGTTTGGAATCATTTCCTGGGTGTGCTGTGAGCAGGGCAGAAGCCCAGGCACAAGAAAGTGACCATGTGAATGGATCCTTATTGTCTTTGCAGTGGGGACACAGGGCTAGGGAGCTCTGAGTCAGAGTCACATCCGGCATCCCCAGGGCTCTGACACAGGGGCAGGAGTTTCTGAAGGGAGAGGCAAAGGGTGCTCCGGGGGCAGGACCACGTTGGGAACGCGTCCGCTACAGCACTTGCCACAGTTGCTTCAGAGCTGGCAGAGTGCAATGTGCTCTCTAAAGGAAACACACCCTTACATGTGTGTTAAATAATAAAAATCACTTCTTAACTGAAGGGAACGATAATCACTTCACCAGGAAAAAAAAAAAAAAACCCTGTTTAGTCTTTATTATAACATTAAGCAAATTAAACATCAGCATAATCCAGGTGATACTAGAAAAGGGTCATCAAAGAAATTAACTTTGTTGTTCATTAATTTACATGGATTAGCAAAGGGCAGAGAGATAGCAAATGTGCTCTAGTTTTTTTATGATATAATTTCAAACTGTACAGCATTGTGGCAGGAGGGTGACTTTGGGGTTAATCAGACTGATTTGTCCTTTTAATTGCTTTCTATTCAAAGAAAATTCATTAGATAATGTTCTCTTCAAAATTCATGAATCAATTTAACTGAAGAAACCGCATTAACAGCTCTGGGTTCATTAACACACACAGTTTGAGAGGCTGGTTGCTGGGAGGGTTTCCTTAGGCAAACAGGCTCTGTTTACTGTCTTCTCCTCTGATAGGGGCTTGGAATCACCTTGCTAATCACCATGATTGTTACTGTTGTTGTTCTGGCTAACTCAAAGTGAGAAAGGGCAGGGGGGGCAGGAGAGGTAGGCAGTGTCACTTGGAGAAAGAGGCTTCATAAATGCAGCCTCATGCTGGGAGAAGAGGCCCTGTCTGTCCGAGCCCGCCTTCCTCAGAGGGCACACACTGGGTGGGTTGTTGCCTGTGCTGGGACCCAGAAGGCATGGGGCTGAGGCTTTCCAGAGCAGCCTAGAACTTGACTAAACCTGCTGGCTGGCATTAAAGCAAGAGAACGTAACTGCAGCAGAGCTCAACTGTGAGAAACAGGGACATCCATCCAGTGCCATCTTTGACCAGTGACTGTTGAGTCACAATCATCTTTCTCCCCAGAGGCAAAAGTATCTGTGATGGGATGCTTAGGCCTCCAGGTACCAGCATGGTTTACCAAACATGCTCAGCTTTGTAGTTAGTACTACAGGAAACTCTGTTTTTAACATGATGCCTTGACTGGCCTTGATTTGCTATGTAGCACTGAACTTCGGAGCGTCCCATCTCTGTCTCCGGAGTGCTGGGATCACAGGCCTGCAGCACCATGTCCTGTTTTATGTGGTACTGAGGATGGAACCTAGAGCCTTGTGCATGCTAGGCAAGGATGCTACCGACTGAGCTGCATCCCAGCCCAGGAAACTATTCCCTAATGAGGCACACCAGGCAGTGTGTGAGGCAGTACAGCTCTAAGGCAGCAGTATCTCACAATCAAGCACATCATTTCAAATGGATCTGAAAACCCCATTTCACCCTGCAGGGAGCAAGCCCACTAATTAGCAGAAGCTGCTCTCAGAGACAAGGCCTTTCACCCAGGACTGAGCATAGTCAGATAGCACTGGCTCTGCACTTAGGTACAAGGAGGCAGGGGGTCTGCTTCTGTGTTAAGGATCATCTTCCAACATAGGAAAATCTGCTCGCATAAGTTCCATGTTAATGTGGAAAAAACGATTTCTGGAGGTCGATGGTGGCCCAAAGGCCACCCACTGAAATCCATCCTGTTCAGCATGGCTCTTGCTGGGGATTGAGCCTACATCCCAGTGCTGTGGGAAGCTGTCTCGGCATGTTACAACCCAGTGTTCTTTTTAGTCCACTCTCTGTCTCTTTCCTTTGGCCTTTCCAGATTCACCCTTTCCCCAGCCTGGTCCTGGGCCTCCAGCACAGTGTCATGATGATATAGCTGGGGTCAAGTTCTGCTGGAAGCTGCCCTGCACCTCAGTCCCCCCTACAGGCCACCTGCAGTAAAGCCCACCTAAGTGAAAAATGACTTGTGTCACTGCATTCTACCTGGACTTGATATCCTCAGAAGCAGGAGAGGTGCTGCTTCCCTACCTGGCTATGGTGTAGACACTGGGGGTTGAGATGTGTGCTAAGGAAGTGGGAGGCAGGGCCTTCAGAGGGCAGGCAGTCTCCATACCCGGGCTTGGGACCATGCAGCTCAACTGTGTCCAACAAGGGAGACTCCGCACCAGCACGCAGTGGGGGGAGGCAGCAGCCTGGCTCTGCCCTGCTGATGTCTTGAGTCTCTCCACATCCTAGGCCTCCATCAACCCTCAGAGATGAGCACCATCTCAGATGCTGCCTCCACAAGGTGGCCTGTGTTCCCACCCCACAGCTGGTTATGGAGCAGTCACCAGTGTAGGCTTGGCCTGTGAGACCTGGGTGCAGACCCAACCTGGAGTACCTTTCCCTGGAGGGCATGGTTTACACGGCCAAGTGCCTGCGGAAGGCTCTTCTTTCTCCCAACCACACCGCTCTTTGGCAAAGAGATGGTTCCTCCAGGAGTCACCCTTCAGTACCTAGCCTTGGGCTCTTCCTGGGTCAGGATGTGAAGAGGGGACTCTAGGAAGAGGCACTGGCTTCACCCATCGGGCCCTGCCCCATAGCTATGCTGTGGCCATAGACTTGGCCAGCGCAGGGAGCAGTGCCCAGTTCCCACAGCAGTAACAGGTGTCTTGGAAGGGCCTGTCCTGGAGCTGATTCCCACGGCACAGGCTACAGCTGTTTGACCTCACGCTGCCTGACCTTCAGGAGCAGCCAGAGGAGCTTTTGAGGAATGAAGCTGAAACGCGGGGACGAAAGGGAAGTGGGTTCCGGGTCCAGGTCAGATGGCGGTGGCATGCTGCACCTGGTCCCCCTGCCAAGTCCCATCACGGAACCTGGCAGAATGCAGAGAACAGCTCAGTTAGGGCTGTGACACCATGGCATCACAGAAAGAGGCAGATGGGGGTGGTGGGGGAGGAGACGACTTTACCAACAAACTTATAGCATCTTCTTTTATATCACAGGCTGGACTTGCTACAGCCTGTGCCCTAGGGAGAAGGGCCCCTTGGCTGCCAAGAGAGCATGGACTCGCCCTTCCATGGTCCCTCTCAAGTCTATACCCTGTGTGGCGCCTAAGTGCAGGGAGTGGCGGGACTTTTGGTGGCAGCAGGTGTGACCCTGGGGAGTGGTGAAACTCTATCTTTTCCTTCTTCATCTTCTTTCAACTTGGTCCCAGATCTGGGCTGAGGTACTAGGGTGTGTAGCTGAGTGGGGTCACTGAAGCCCCCAGTTTTGTTTCCAGGGGACTGAAAAGGTTACCCCAGGAACTGCAAAGTACCAGGGAGCCTGCCAGGGGCCTTGATGGCACAGGGATCTGTTTGCCGCTGCCTCCTGAGTGCTGGGATTAGAGCTGTGCTCTACCACACCCCGGAAAAGATAAAAAAATTATATATATTTTAAAACTATTATTGTTATTTTATGTGTATGAACGTATTGATTGCATGTAGGTAGGTGTACCTGTGTTCTACAATGCCCATGGAGGTCATAAGAGGGCGTCAGATCCCCTGGAACTAGAATTATGCATGACTGTTAGCTGCTGTGTGGGTGCTAGGAACTGAACCCAGGTTTTCTGCAAGAGCAGTCAGTGCTCTTAACCACCGAGTCATCTCTCCAGCCCCTAAAATATTATACTTTATTTTTTTTCTTTTGTGTGTATGTACACAAGTGTGCCACAGTGCCCATGTGAAAGTCAGAGGACAACTTACAGGAGTCAGTCCTCTCCTTCCATTCTAGGAGGCAGGTGATGGGGATTGAATTCACGTCAGGCTTGGCAGCAAGCTCCTTTACCTACTGAGCCATCTCTCTAGCCCAGAGGAAAACATTTCTTCCCCCTACACCAAAATGTTGCTTTTACCCTCCTGGATTCATCTGTCTGGGAAAGCTGCCACTTGCGGAACTGTGTGTATTCAGTTCTGATGCTAAACAGAAGATGTTCAGAACTGATACAAGGGTCAGGCACTGCCGAGTTCAAAGCAGGCAGAGTGGAAGACGGGAGAGACTCGAAGGTGACAGCAAATGAGACAGGCGTGGAGATCATAGCGCACACAAGGCCAGCTGGAAACTATAACCCAAACCCAACCAGGCAGACTACCTCCTAAAACAAAAACAGCAACTACCTGCAGGATTTACCAGACCCTGTCTCATAATGCTCAGGATGATCGGGCTACAATCCAAAATGATTAAGTATATACA